TCTGTTAACCAGGGAAGTGAATCAGACACTGCATAGAGATGACAGTTCTGAAACCTTGTTGGGACTTTTTAGAAAAGCTATATACCACAAAGGTACAACAGACTCAAAAAATTTTATCTGCCAAATTCAATCATTTACTTTATTACTATTATCTTGAACTAGTTAAAAAATGCTGAAGAACATTTGTGAAGAAAAGTGAATTTAAAGCCTGACATTTACAATTTGCAAGCTTGTCAGTGTTCTTTTGTCATACTGCTGGCTTTTATCTACAGTTAAATATTTCAGGGAGGAAGTTTTAATACTGCATATTAATTCTGCTCAACTAGATTCTGTATAGAGTTTTTCCCGAATACAAGACAGGAATCATCTTTTTTTTTTTTTTTTTTTTTTTTTTTTTTTTTTTCCTTAAAAGCAGAAAAGACTAAATGACTAAATTTTTCTGCAGATGAAACAATACCAGTTAAAGTGCACTACTGCAACTATACTCTAGAAAGAGCACTATCCCACTATTGTATTGGAGACACTGGAGTAAGGTTTGGTATCTCTTTGATGATCTAAATTCACAGAATCATAAAATTACAGAATAGCTTAGGTTGGAAGGGATCTCAAAGATAATCTAGTTCCAACTCTAAGGATTCTATGATTCTAAAACCAAAAAACAAAAATGGCTTATATATAAGCAGTGTGTTTGTGTTGGGAAACTACACTATATTATAAAAATATACGCATGCCATTGCTCAAGTTTTGCCAATGTGTGAAATTTTGAGCAATTGTGCTGGTACACATGCAGCTGGAGTGTCATTTGCATGCAAACAGCAGTACATTTGCAGAGCAACATTTTAATCTGAAACCTAGGTAATTTGAGAAAATTTCTTTGCAATGGTTTACGGATACTTCTGGACAGAGAGGAAGACAAAATGCTCAAAAATACATGCTCAATGAACCCTGTGGCAAGTTCAAGTGACCAACTGAAGAAGCAAGCAACTTTCATTATTTCAGAAGCTTTCAGTAACTGATTAATTGGTCTAATTTCTCCTGAAGGCCAGCCTCTAGAAATGTCATATATAAAAATGTACAGCAGGTATGTCCAACCTGCAGCCCAACACAGCTCATCCTGTGGCTGCCCTTTGCCCTGCACCACCATGACGGTTGCTCCCATGCCACTGAGCGGCCCAGCCCACCCCAGGCTCGTACTTGTCTGTCAGAACAACACAATATTGGTGGGCTATAAATATTGTTTCAGCTGAAAACAGGACACGGGGAGGGTGTCCTGTTTTCAGCTCCACCCCTTGCACCTGCCACACATCCTCAGTCACATCAAAACCTTCAAGTACTACACATTACGTGCAATTATGCTAAGAGTAAAGCGCAATGATTGCCGATAATACTATTTCAACTTATCTATGCTGTCTCACAAGAGAACAGAACCCAAAAAAAGAAAAATCTTGGATGAAGGAAGAGTGTTCAATGAAAGATGAACAAATGAGTACTTTCTTGTTGTGTTAAACAATATGGCTCTATGTTTAATTTGTAAGGAAACGGTATCAGTTTTCAAAGGTCATAACTTGAAAAGACATCATATGCCAAAACATGCTACCCAATTGGATGCATTTCGGGAAATGTTTTGTAAAGTCAAAATAATGAAACCAAAAAAAGTCTGTCCCTCCAAAAAATTCTTTTAAACTCAAAAGGACTCATAAAAGCTAAGTATGTGGTAGCAAATTTGATTGCAAAAAAACAATGTATTGTTACATTATTACATTATTATGCATTGTATGGGAAGTGTGGGAGTTATTATTTGTCCTGATCAAGAAAAAAATAATGAATTTTTTGAAAATCAGTTTGACTCACCAGACTATAGCCAGATGAACTGAAGAAATGGGAAAAACTGTCAGAAGAAGTTTGGAGAGGAAAGCTGCTAATTTTGAATGTTGTGCTTTGGTGATGGTCAAAAGTACTGATGCTACAGATGTGGGTCAACGAGTCACTTTTATTGGAGATACTGGTAACAAATATAACATCATTGAAGAAATGGCTTTTTGGTGCCATTAAAAGACATAACTAAATCTCTTGATTTGTATGAAGCAGTAAAAACTACACTAAAGTGATTTTTTTTAAACCTCTGTCAACATATCTGGTACAGCTATTAATGCAGTATGGCAACTGTCGGTAAAAAAGAATGACTTATAAAATTAATAGAAGACAATGCAATTGCCTCAGGCAGCTCACATTTGATGAAATATCACTGCATTGCACATCATGAAATTTATGTGCAAAAGCTTTAAAAATTGATAATGTTGTGCAGATTGTCACCAAAACTGTGAGTTTCATAAAGTAAAATGAACAGAACCATTACCAATTCCAGGAGTTCCTTTAAAGTATAGATGTAGATTATAAGGACATAATTTACTTTTCTGAAGTAAGATGGCTAAGTTGGGGTAAAATGCTAAGAAGATTTTATGAATGAAATCAAGTCATTTATAGAATCAAAAGGAAAATTTGTGTCAGACCATAAAGATGAAAAACTTCTCACAGATTTAGCACTTTTTGTGGATTTGACTGCTCATTTAAGAGCGAAACAAGCATCTTCAAGATGAAAATCAACTTATGTATGCTATATTTCAGACCATAACAGTGTTCAAAATCAAACTTAAATTAAAGCAGGCTCACGTTATGACAAGTAATTTTGTGCATCTTGATACACTGTCTAAACAGAGTCCTGTGAACACCAAAGATACACAGCTTCTCTTTCCAGTTTCAAGATTGTAAGAAAAAGTCATATTTTTTTTGCTATATTTGCAACTTCATTTTTTGTCAGCATAAATATATAATCTGCAAATTTTCAAATGAAATGTAAAGAATTGCAATCATATAATGTCTCTTAACTAAACTTTTATAAAACCTATCTCACAGAGAAAAATATCCATCGCTTCACAATCAAACCTCAATTCGTGTCATTGCTTTTTTTTTGGCAGTACATACATTCATGAACAAGTTTTTCAAGAATGAAGTACAAGAGTAAAATTTCATCAAAAATCTCTAAGAACACCTTGAAAACTCACTAAGAAATGCAATCCCTTCTACTGAATCAGACTGATACATAAGCTTGACAAATACAAGGTGAAATATCACACATTTTTTTGTTGTTGCTCTTTTCTTATATTCTACTAAAAATATATTTTAAAAGATCAGTTTTGTTACTAATATACATTAGCAGTATTATATATTTTATATGCAGCCTGACACAATTCCTTTTCACTTGATGCAGACTGGACAAGTCAAAAGGTTGGACATCCATGATGTACAGCCTTGTTATACTGCAAATAGGATACTCAACTGCAACAGTGTATGCTATGTAAAATATCCTGTTGGAAGGAACCTAATGCAGTGCTATCATTTGTTCTTTTACATCTGAATGAAGCACATCCACAACAGAAAAATAGTCATTAATTAGACCAGATTAGAGGCCTGTGTGGGTGAGCAAGAAACTCATGGATAAACTAAAAGGAAAAAAGGTCCACAAAATGTGGAAAACAGGCCTGTCTGCCTGGAAAGGATACAAGAATATTGTCAGGGTCTGTACAAATGAAATGAGGAAGGCTAAGGCCCCCTTGGGCAAAGGAAGTAAAGGATAACAAAAAAGGCTTTTTGAAGTATGTCAACAGTAAAAGACTAGGGAAAATATGGGTCCCCTACTAAATGACATGGGTGCCTTGGTAATAGGGCATGCTGAGAAGGTAGAGATTCTGAATTCTTTAATGCTAACACTAGCCCTCAGGAATCACAGACCCTACAGGTAAGAGAGAGTCTGGGGAAAGAAGAACTCCCCATTGGTCAATGGAGGATCTGGTCAGAGAGTGTCTAGACAAAATCAATTCACACAAACCCATGGGCCCCAATGGAATATGCTCAGGAGCACTGAGAGAACTGGCAGAGGTGACTGGTGAATCACTCTCTATCATCTTTGAAAGATCTTGGTGAAAAGAAGAGGTGCCTGAAGGCTGGAGGATAGCCAATGTCAATCTAGTCATCAAAGAGAGCAAGAAGTAGGATCCAGAAAACTACAAGCCAGTCAGCCTCACCTCCACCCTGGAAAGATAATGGAATAACTTGTTCTGAGCAGCCTCTCCAAGCAACTGGAAGATAAAAATTTTATCAGGAATAGCCAACCTTACAGCTCGTTACCACTACTGGAAAGAATGATCTATCAGAAAGGAGAATGTAGCAAGGTGGACATTGGCTTCTCGCAAGTAATTAGTGATGAGAGGCAACGGCCTTAATTTGCACCAGGCAAGTTCAGGTTGGATATTAGGAAAAAAATTCATCTCAGAAAGGGTGGTAAGGTATAGGAATGGGCTACCTAGAGAGATGGGTATTGCATTTTGGTCACAGCAAACCCAGGCAATCCTACAGGCTTGGGGAGGAGTGGCTAGAAAGCTGCCTGATGAAAAGGGACCTTGGTGTACTGATGGACAGTCGGCTGAACGTGAGCCAGCAGCATGCTCAGGTGGCCAAGAAGGCTAGTGGCATCCTGGCTTGAATCAGGAATGGTGTGATGAGCGGAACTAGGGAAGTAATCCTGCCCCTGTGCTTGGCACTGCTGAGGCCTCACCTTGAGTACTGTGTTCAGCTTTGGGCACCTCAGTATAGAAGGGACATTGAGGTGCTGGAGCAGGTCCAAAGAAGGGCAACAAGGCTTATGAAGAGCTTGGAGAATATGCCCTATGAGGAGAGACTGAAGGAACTGGGTCTGAGGGGAGACCTTATTGCTCTCTTCCAATATCTGAAAGGTGCTTACAGCGAGAGTGGGATTGGTCTCTTCTCACTGGTGACAGGTGTGACAGGTGGCAGGACAAGGGGAAATGACCTCAAGTAGCATTAAGGTAAGTTTAGGTTGGATATCAGGAAAAAAATTCTTTACGGAAAGAGTTGTTATGCACTGGAATAGGCTCCCCAGGGAGGTGGTTGAGTCACCATCCCTGGATGTGTTTAAAAACCACTTGGATGTGGTGCTCAGGGACATGATTTAGAGGAGGGTTGTTAGAGTTAGGGTAGTATGGTCAGGTTGTGGTTGGACTCAATGATCTTTAAATCTTTTCCAACCTGAGCTATTCTATGGTGGAGTAACCATCCCTGGCATTTTTCAAGAAGAGAGTAGATATAGCTCTGAGAGGTATGGTTTAGTAGTATTGTGGTGATGAGTCAATAGTTGGACTATATGATTTAGTAGTCTAACCTTAATGATTCTGTGATTTTGTGAAAAGATTATCTACTCTCTTACAATTTACAATGCAGGCCATGCTCCATTAATTCAAGTACAAGGTTACATACAATGCTTGTAAATATCTCACTGGCCTGAAATGAAATTTGCCCTGGAAAGGTAAGTGGCACAGAAATGCAGACACAGAAATAACATGCAAATGTCATTTATGATCCAGGAAGAAACAGATCAGGTACATCTTAAGCTAGTCTATTGTGCACACTAAGTCCAAACATTTAAGCATACACCTTAAAAAAGATCATTCTACGTTCCCCACCTCCACTGAACCTCAAGGCAGAAGTAGTTACCAAAGTCAGTTGTAGAAATCCCATTCATAAATATACCATCTCACAGATATTCATAGAAAAATTACATCATTACAATTTTTACATCTGCATGAGAATCCTTGTTTATCATGTACAGAATAGATCTGAAGATCATCCTCTCTTCTAATTGTTTTCTGGGAGCAAGGGGTAGAAGAGAACAGCTAAAACAAAGCAAGTAGTCCAGATATATGCTTCCTGTTCACCAGCATCAAACAGCCCTGCAGCAATAGGAACCAAATGAAGGAACACATTACCATGGTGAAGATCACATTATATCACTGCTAAAAAAGCATCTTGTTAAAGAAGAATGTTATGGAAATAATGGAATAAAAACCACCAAATCCATCTGAAAAAGTCAGTATTTGCACACATCTACGGTTAACTACACAATGAACTAGCATTTTAACCCCTGATTTTCCATATAAAGACACAAGTATCTTGTTTTTTTTCTCTCTGTAGTTACACATACAGCCCTGAAATGAATTTTGAATTTGACGCCTCATATGCAAATCTCAAAGCACTGTGTAAATGTAAAAGCAGCTTATAAAATATTTGCTGTTGATAAAAACAGAGGCATAGCAGTACTCATAATCACACAAAAATATTCAGACCTTACTTTACGCTGAGGGAGAGGTGTGTTTAATGAAGCTTTCAAGAATTTTCAGGTACAAAACTTCTAGGACATCTGTATTTCAACTGGATTTTGAATCTAAATTTTCTCTATAAAACATGGCTGAAATATGTAACTCCCTATACAGACATTTTTAGTGCCATCTCCTGGTTGTAAGAAAAAACTGAAAAATCGTATTATCAAATCATACATAAAGCTTGCCCATGCTTTCCTTGCTGCATGTAGCAAAACTCTTTGGATGCTACTGACAAGAGTAAGATGTCATGGTGAAAACAGGTGTCATAAAGTTGTTGATAAATACAACCCATCACCTTGAGCTGGCTTTCCCCAGCAAGTCTGCAAGAGTAAAATTTTGTCTATTGAAATTATAATGCATGAGCTACACTTCAGTGTATTTACTTCAGTAAATATACTTCAGTATTTTGCTGTATTTTAGATAGCTAGAATATCAATTTTAAAACATAATGTCCAAGCCCACAAAGCACAGAATAAAAATAAAAGGCTGAGCATAAAGTAACCTCTTAATGCAGAATTGTTAAGTGTTGGCAAAATGCCTAATACTCTTGAGGGATTTTACAGTTTCTGGGTATATCAGATCTTTTTTGGTGTCAAGCCTAATACTCTCCAGGGAATTTTTGTAAGTTGCCTTGGGCCTTTATAACACATCCAATATACATGTTGGTATCACTACTTATTTACATTTTATTGAATATTTTGTTCTTAAACAAAGTTTTGAACACTTATTTATAATAAAAACTCTAAAAGTACACTGTCGATGTCACTGTAAATTACTGCCTTCTACTCTTAATTTTCAAGAGTTTCCTGAACATCATTTATTTTCAGGAGTTGACACATGACTGAAACATGGCAGATGGAAAAATAAAATAAATTAAGCTGAAACAACCACTCCAAAGGAATGTCTTGCAACAGGCATCCACCAACTTTTACATTAAGTATACTTTTGTATATGCTATAAAAGGTGTAACAAAACCCAAATCTAACTAGGATTGTGGGCCTAGATTACAACCTCTTCATCCAATGCCTAGAACTAATTCTAGAATTAAGCACAGAGAGTCCCACGTTCTCATCTGCCCTGTTGGGAAGTCTTGGACAGGACAGAGAAATCCATCAAGGCCCTTCCCTGTTCGATCAAGAACGAATGTTATCAACAATTGTCAGAGCTGTAATTCATGACTTCCTTGCCTTGATGGGTTGTATGCTCCTATTCAAACATGTCAAGTCCACTGAAGCGTCTGCAGGCTGGAAAATCTGACAAACTGGATACAATTAAGATCATTATCACTTAATCACTTTGCTGTACCTAAACATTGTCAATAAGTAGGCTTAAAAACTGCTGAAAATTGATTTTTTAAAAAACAGCTTAAAAAGAAAGTAAGACCTGAATCAAGCTTTCTTTGTAAGGAACTGCACAGAATGCTGATGAACAACTTGTTTTCAGGCTGTGCCAAGTGACACATAAAAACAACAGTACTACAGAGCAAAATAAGTGTGTAAAAAAGATTTCAAATGAGGCTCAAGCTGCTTACTGATTAACATTTCTGCACATAACAGACTTCACAGACCTGTGTAGCTATTGTCCAGAAGTGAAACAAAGCTCTCTTGGACAATGGAGACAAATGATCCTTTCTAGTCAGGTTTAACAGTTCTCACACGGCTTACCAGCATTGGAGGTGCTGTTCCTTCCAACGCCTATGAAAAAAGCCAAAAAGACCCTCCCTCTCCATCCCCCTACTCCCCTCAAAAAATCTTTCTAGTTATAATATAGCCTCAGACACGTACTCACATGTTGAGTACAGCAGTTTTAATAGAGCAACCAGGATGGAACAAAAGGTGCTCTTACTTTCCAAGTCCAGGACTCCCTACATATGCTGTGTCATCTGCTGCTAGGGACAACGGTGTAAGCAAGAAGATAGCTACAGCTCTCTTGACTGAGAGCTGCTCACAATTTCTAGAAAGTCTTGCAAAATATATTTGCTCAAACCACAAACAGATAAGTAAAGAAGTCCAAAAGCCTTCTCCCTTCCTGTGTCCACCTGGTGCATCTCTGCTGTGTTATAACTGCAATGGCTGGAAGTGCAGCAGCTACACCACTTCCACAAACGGCACCTCAATGGATAATAGCAATTACCACAGAAATTCTCCACTGGACAGATTTGAGCTGCTTGAAGACTACAATATATTATCTAATATTACAGGAAAATCTGCTCTAAGCTTCAAATGAACTTCCATAAACACATAAGTATGATCGCAGCAATTCAGAACAAGTCCCCAAGTCCCCCAGCAGGACCCTACCCTCCACTGTCCCCAGCTAGACAATGATGAGGGAAACAGCCCAGGAGTCCTCCACTACATAAACTACCAGAATTATGCTTGTTTTTAATACCTCTTGATGGACTTCAGAAAAATATGTTCTCATTCATATAGTAAGAGAAAGGTACAGGTGTTGAACATGTTGGCCATCTGGAAAACATATGACGTCTTCTGAAATATTAGGGATTTTTATTACCATGTAAGTCACAATAGCCCTCAGGATGTGTCTGAACATCATCCAGCTCAAATTCAAAAAAATACTGTCTGTCGAGATGAGTGAATAAGACAAGCAGTAAGAACAGCTACTAGTTTCTTAAGATGAAAAACTGCTTAGATATTTCTATTTAGAGAAGATAATCAAAGCAGTACATCTTCAAATACATAACGTGGTCTGGGTATCACTACAGTTGTAATTTGGACCATTCTAAGATTAGAATTTCTTTTAAAATTTTTCATAGTAATAGAACATTCAACAGAAAGCTGGATTTTTTCAATTATATTATTTTTCAGTACAAGACAGTTGTCGAAAGATCTTCTGTATTGAAAAAGAGAAGCTGAAGATCAGTGCTATCACCTTATGGACTTCTACCTTCCTCTGCTGTTCTCACCTCTTTCTGCTTATTTTTCCCTGATGTCTTTACAACTCTCTGTTGCAACCTGAGCAACTACTATCAATAAAGATCTGCTTTCAAAGTCTGAGCAAATCTGATAAGTGTGAAACTAAATATTCACAAAAAGTGGTCAAATACACTTATCAAATGAAATTAGAGACTGTAGATTTCCAGTGTCAATTATGTTTACTGTTACGCCTGAATTTTGCACCAAATTTCTGTGTCAAAATATCCCCTTTGGGAACATAGATCAGTGTCTATTAAGACTTGCTTTTTTTCTCCATATAATAAAAATGTACAGTATGCTTTAGGTTCTCATCATGCATAAAAGTGTAACATTTTCTCCTAATGTGACTTGAGGTGGCATCCTTTCTAAAAATCATTGTCTGTCAAAGCTTTCAATCGCTATAAAAGATAGTTCTCATGCAAATAAAAGATTCTCAGCCTGTTGCTGAGGGCACGTTGTGCTTACTGTAGATTATTATTGTCCTCTTAGTGCATACAATACCATCTCCTGTCCAAATAAACAAATAAATATATAAATAAAAATCCATGGAAAACAAGACACGGTTGGACTGCTCTAAAATATTCTGTTCTTTCCTTCTTCCCTGTTGTGGTGCTGTTTATCCATTACGGAAAGAGAATAGGGAAGCTGTTTTTTAAAACCACGAACTCAGTCTGTTGTGTATCTTGCTGCTTTTACTATTCCATATGTTTTAAAGTTAAAAAAAAAAAAAAAAAAAAATTAAAAAAAAACCCACGCTTCTGAATTGTGTAAGCTTCTTTAAATCATCTTGAGACAATTGTAAAAGGAAAATCATTGACTTCTTGAGACTTTATTTTTTGTTTAAATCAAATGCCTATCAGAAGACATTCCCTCTATGTAACAGCCACTAGAAAGGGACAAAATATGAAAGAATTGCACAGGCACTTGTTAGACGAACAGTTTTACAAGGTTTATATGCTGTTTAAACCTTATAAATTAGCCTATCAGGGATCAAAGTCTTAGAAAACTAAGTGGATGTGGCTAAGTGGATGAACCTTTTTTCTTCCATAGTGGATACACTTCTTTAACTTTGTAAGCAGTATTGTTAATAATTATGATTAATTCCAATCAATAGAAACAAAGAATCTTAAGTCCACGGTATCTGAAGCTCATAGTATCTTCTTCCATGGTAACTATTTGCATTTTATAGAATTTCTGCTATTCTATAAATTCTCAAAAATAAAATCACAACATATTCTCTCATTTACAAGTGTAATATTTTAACATCCATTTGATAAAGGAGAACACGGTACAGTTAAGGGCTATGCAGACCTCCTTTATTGTCTGACTACAGAAGAAAAATACAGAATATGCTTTTGGAAGACAAGTATATCATCACTCATTCACTTTGTCTCCTTATCTCTTTCCCAGTGTTCCTCATTTGCTTTACAATTGACACTGCCTCTTGTCTTTTCAGTCACATATTTATTACAAGCAAACAATGTTTACGCAGCAGTGTTAATTACAAACTTCCCCAGTGCCAGGCTTTCTGCTGGAATCTCTATTCACTATCCCACAAAACAGCAGGCTGTTTTAAATGTGTGACAGGAGAGTGGGCCAAGGAAGAAGGGTGGAAACAACAACAGTCAGGAACATTGTGGTTACACATATTAGACCCAAATCCCCAAATACCAAAGACAATAAACTAGATGATACATTTCTTTGCCATGTGATGATCTCTACAAAGTATACAGCTGGTGGAGCAACTGTTACATTAGGCTGTTTTAGAAATATAAAACAGAGATCCATGCTGTGATAAGTTTAAACAAATCACTTTGGACTGAGCCAGAATTAGGCTCTACATGCAGACTAAGAGAAGTTCCTCTAGAGCTCATAGAGTAAAGATTCCACTTCCTCTCACTGCCAACAGCAGAGGCTTGAAGCCAAATACTGTGAGGAATATCCACCAGCACCACCACAGCAAGCACCAGATGTCCCCCAATGAATATATATATGAATTACTATAGGCACGACTCAGCAGAACACTCAAGCAGGCAGTTAACTTTCAACTCATTTTAAAATACTGATGGTTTTGTGTGCCATGCTGAAGTGGATGGACTTAATGAATTTTAATGCAAACAAAGTGAAGAAGGAAAATAAAAAGAAGCAATACACTCGGAATAACAGAAGAAATCTGTCTCCTTCTCTGCATTTGCACTCAAATGAAAATCAAAAATTTTTATTGGTGTTTCAAAGTATTTAATTCTTTTCCATCCATGAAATCCTCACATCTAACTACATTAAATTCTAAAAGTAAGATATTCTAATTACTCAAAAGTAGCATCCCAATTTCTAGCACAGCCAGAATCAGTAATTTCTGAAACCTTAAAGTTCTCTTTAATCTTTACAGACCCAAGAGCAGACAAGAAAGTGATTCCAGATAGACTTGTAAATCTCTGATGTAAAAGCACTTATTCACTGAGGACCAGGCTACAAATCTTGTGAGAGCTACGTTTCATTATTTTCCACAACATACAAAGTCGTTCCAAAAACCAAATTGCAAATCTGTGATTAAGACATGCTCCAAGGTGCTTTACAGCTTTCCTTGTCTAAGTACACAAAAAAACTATGACTACACTGCTGCTATCATGAGTAAGCAGTTGTTAGTCATGGAAGGAAAGCTGTGTTCATGCATCCAAGACAGAATATTTCTGACAGTACTCACAAAATTCTGTCTCTCCAGAGCACAAAGTGACTATTTGGATCTGTTGAGTTACATTAGAAAAGCAAAGTAAGACTGTGCTGTTTATAAGGAAACATCAGACAGCTTAGGGTGTATGAGCAACTGCTGTCAATTACAATGTTCCTAGCCATAATCAAGCAATTAATTACTTTAGTGAAACATAGTAAAACATTCTGCTTCAATATCTCTTCTGTTGCAGTAAAAGAATGCTAAAGAAGAGACAGAATTTCATCAGCTAAAATCAGTATCATCTAGATATATAGTACAGCAGAAGAAATGTCATCACCTGTGCATAGGCAAAATATGTTTCCAAATTCCTGCTGTTTTGTCATCAAAGACTGTGGGCCTGGACCTTGCAATAAAGGCTTCCCATTTGTAACCACTTGTCTCCTGGGACTTAAAGCAGGAAGGTGAATTGTACTGTTAATGATGAGGCTCTGAGGACTTAATCCTCTTGAAAGAGGTCTCTTTGATTTGTACACCAGTGAACATGTTTCCAATAGCTGGGCTTGGGCTGCTGTTACCTGATGATGGGCAGGGCATTTCTGCATGAACGCAGATAAGTGGGATCTCCTGACCACTGAACAGCACAGGTACATGAGGAATACAAGTGGTCGGGTGGCTCATTCTGCATGACCTCCTGTTCATTTATAAGCAGTTAATGTAATAAAAGAGTATTTTTACCGACCGATAGCTATGACTGACATCAGTCCAAAGTCAGTAACTAATGCATCGTAAATATGTCTGTTTAAAAAAGAATGCATTACAAAAAAAAAAAAAAAAAAAGATGTAGTAAGTAACACCCAATAAAAGAGAGGTCTGCCCGGAGCTCTTAACTCTGTGACATCACTGGCTACAAGCAACAAAGTACAAGTGTTACAGGTCCGGGTTGGGAGAAAGAACAAAGCTAAGCAAAGGCTCACAACTTCAACACAAAGAGAACCTGCCTCTTCAAAAGCTGAAGACTGCAATAAGGTCAGCTACCTTCACATTAGCTAAACCAGCCATGAAATGAAGTGAATGTTAAGCAAGTGAAAGAATGCAGCCAGGACTGAAAAGACTCCCTTGTAGACTGTGGTCACTGTGAGGAACAGGCTATCTCCTCTTTTCCTGTCACCTCTTTGGTCTGTTAATTAAAATGGTGTTGCAAAGCAAACACATCAGGGCAGCATTATGTAGATGTAGACAAAAAAGGAAAGAGATGCCAGTTCACATTTTAAAGAACGTACACACAAGAAAATGGAGAGGGAAAAGCAAAACCACAGAAATGTCCCTGGCCCTCCCAGCTCTGATGGGTATTCAAAAACATAACTACTGTTCCTGCAAAAGAAGATTTCTATTGTAAATCTGCAGATATACTCTAACTTAGATGCCATCATTCAGATGCCAATTTTCAGGAATATCTTCCTATTTATGCCAATAATCTTGCAATTCTGACTTTCCATTAAGACATTTTTCTTTATTTTACTTTTCCCATTATTTCATTCTTAGAAGACAAAACCAGTAAAGGGTTTAAGTGATCTTCTCAGCCATGACCTAACAAATGGCAGCATCAAAGAATCATAGAATCAGCAAGGTTGGAAAGGACCTCCAAGATCTAGTCCAACCATCCACCTACCACCAATATTTCCCCATAATCCATATACCTTAGTACAACATCTGAGCATTTCCTGAACACCTCAACTAGATCTAAACATTTCCTGGCCTAAAAAAGATTTGTAGAAAAAAAGCTGTAGCAGTGAAATCACTAGGCTAAGACGTCACATATATCAGGTAATATCAGCCCTAATTCAGCAGAATAGTACGTGCCCAACTTTAATCACTAGGTTCATATGTTTAATATTAAATACATGTTCAAGTACTTTGTTGAATCATGGATATGTTGCCTAGTTAACTTGGTTAGATACACAAATTAAGTTGATAGGAATAAAACTGAGGTTCATCTTCAATTATGGTTTTCATTCACGTATATATTATGGTTTGAACCCAGCATTACAACTTCTCTGCAGCAAAACATTGATCTGTAACTTTTATCTTCAGCACATGAGATTTTCAGCATTGAAGCCAGAAAAGTTATGACCATTGTACTCATGACTGAAGTTTGCATGAAGCTTTCATATTAAACTCTTGACTTTCTACAATGTTCCATTTTTCTCTTTCCATGCACTGCCAAAAAAAAGAAAAAAAGCATAACACCAAACATGCCTTTTGCAAAACTGCATTCATAGCACATCTCCAGAATAGAGTAGAAGTCATCTAAGTGACTGTAGGGGTAGATACATATGGACAGATACTCACACGTACTATACTACAGGTTAAGCTCATTAACAATGAAAGACTATGTTAATTACATTCAAAGGCAAAAGCAACACCCTAACTGACATTTTTAAGAAGAGATGCTCTATTGACACTGAAATGATTATAAAATATGTATTCTAAATGTTATCTTTCTTTGTTGTATTTGTGTATCACAGGAATAAAACTCACGTAGTACACAAATTACATGCAGTATTATTAATTTTCATGCCTAGCTGAAGCACAAATAACTCTTTTCAATTCAACTAAGGACAGGCAGAGCTGAATGTTCTGAAATTCTCAGTTTGTTTTAAAAGCAGAATGTACCTTGTCCTAACACAGGTGAGTAGCTCCTTAGAAAAGGACACACAAACTCAGTTGTTTCACTGGCAAGGCAATATAGCATGGCACTATAAATGGGCTACAAAAAAACAGAACATTCTAGTCAATAATCCCTGTCTGCAAAAAGTACTAATATAATCAAAGAAATACATGACAAAAGCATCAGCTTTACTAAGTAGAAGTGCCTTTGATTTAATCAACAGAAGTACACACAGTTTATGCAGACCTGCCAGCTCAGGTAAAATCCAGGTCAAAGCTGGTTGATCTCCCTGCTGTTCTCCTCTGTACTCTATTTTACAATGATGAAGACAGTTCTGTGCTGTCTTTGCCTAGCTTTTATCATTGTCTACAGCTGTTTTTTCCACATTTTGATATATTAGATATATTTTGAACCAAGTGGTATGCAAGTGCATGCAATACAACTTTTGTTCATTTTGATGAAAGCAGAAAGAAGTTTTCTCTAGAATTCATTTTCATTTTCCTGATTCTATAATGAAGAAGTATAACATGCAATTTTTTATTTTATTTTATTTTTAAATTATTATAATGTGCAAACAAAATATTAAAATACCTCCCCCATCTTTTTAAATGAGTACTTCGCAGTAACAATGGTATTATTTGGTCACAAATGCCCTTTCATTGATTTCATTTGTTTCATACCAGCTTCCATTAAAATGCCATTCTCATATCAAAGGCAGCGGAGCCAAACTGATTCAAACCAAAACATTGGGTATACCTAGAGGTGCATTAAAGCATATATAACAAACTAAAAAACAGTAGGATGCTAATTATGTACTAACAGTCTATCTGACCTTCACACCATAAATAGCTCCTGATTATAGTGACTTACATGACACTTTGAAATTTGAATAAGACTGAAACTTACAATACAAGAATACCAAAGAATATTAGTTGTGCTAAATGCATTATTTTGCTGTACCAAAGAAATGCAAGCACTTGCTACCTTTCAGTAGAATATTTCTCTCCATCAACGAGACTCTTCAGTGCCCTGTCTTACTCATGGTGATGTCAAAAGAAATATAATTAGGTTGATTGCTTCTGAAGTCTCCTTTTTTCAAGCTGACATTACTCAAAGCTTTATTACTGTACCTCTATCAATAACAACATGACAACAGTTACTCAAAATCCCCAACGATTTATAAATTCACTTTCAGAAAACCACGTAGTAAGACTTAAAGTCAGACTGAACCCCTGGAAAATGTGATTAGTAATCCTTCAAAAAGCAAAATAAAGAATTCACAAACCTGTGCCAGCAGCACAGTAAGCCACACTGTCTGCTGTTCCAGTGCAGTTTAGAAAGAGCTGGCTTACCACTTCACCCACTGAAGTAGGAGTCAAACACCCTTCAGCTCCAGTAAGACCTGAGTCAGACTGCTCCAAAGGCCAGTTTAAGGAGATGTAATGAATCTAGCTCAGGAGACATGCAGTTATGTGACATTTATCAGACACAGGCACTTTGTGCATTAGGTAGCAAGCACCATCCCAAAACAAAGAAGGCGGAAGGATCCTTACTTCAGTTCAGTAGCAGCTGCCACGCACTGCAAGAGAGACGTGGTCACCTTTCTTTGTGCTCCTGGACTGTGTGCTGCAGGACTCAGCCCATCATGAACAAAGACAGTCTCTCCCTCACCCACCTGCCCCATCTCAGCACCAGTCCAGGGGAAAGCGTCAGTGCCTCACAGAAGTGTCCTGTGCCTACAGAAACAGAGCCCTGGAGGCTCCTATTGTTGCTGTGCCCTGCAGCTGTGTGCAACAAGCACGTGCCCAGGCAAAGGTACCAGCCCCTGGCTTCATAACTAATTTTTGGAAAAGTGTGTGCACATCAAATGAAGCACTGGTATGATGACTGCTGCACAGGTGCTGCATTGGCACCTGGCTATAGCTCACAATCAAAACAACTGCAATGATGGGTTTTCCTTCCAAGGGAAGGAGTTTCAGCTGGAAAAATAATAATAATAATAATAATAATAATGAATTGAATAGAGTGCTAGAAATTAAGGTTGGAACAACATACAGATTAGGGAAAACAGCTGCAGTAAAGGAAGATAATGTGGCTTCAAAACTTAAACTACAAATAAGCCTTCCACTCAATTTATACAGAATCTTTCTGACCCTCCATGCTACCAGCCATCTCAGAAGCCATGCACTGCTATAGTACTGCCTCAGAGAGTATCCACCGTTTTGGCAGCTCATGTTCTTTTCACAACACCTGTACTTTTGGACTACCACGGGGGGCTGATTTCCAAACCGTAGTACCCTGATGATATCTCACTTTCATTAATGCGAGTGATCAGCCAAGGAAAGCAAGGGGAGGGATGTACAGCCTGAGGGTTTTCTGGCTCCCCAAGATTCACAGGAAGCCTTCTTGATAGGGCATCAATGAGCCAGGCATAAAAAAGCCAGAGGAAGTTCTCTGCAACACTGTAAGATGACCAGCCTCCAAACATGACTGAGTTTCTCAGTGCTAGCATAGTAAAATATACTAATTACTTATTGCTTGCATCACTGTAATTCCTGGGAAGATTAGTCACAGTAAGGAATGCCTTTGTGCAAGGAGCTGTACAAACAGAGCACAGAACGCAGCCACCGCTAGTGCTGCGATCACCAGGAGGGCAGCCGTTATCAGAGTGATAGGATGATGTATGTCCTCGTGCAATTGGGACCCAGCACTTTTACCACTCTACTAGAAAAACTTTCTCAGGTCTTTACGATGGTAATTAGAATCTCCTCAATCTTTTCTCCTTTAGGACTGAGGGCAACAAGGCAGAACTATTGCAAAAGGCTGCGGCAGCACAACAGCACGAACTTCCCAGGAGCGGCATTACTCTCATTAGGATGAGCTACAAAGTTCGGGAAGCTCTTGGAGAAACCCAACACAACCTGACGACAGCGAGCACCCGTCCGAGGCATGCTTTGCGATGTGCTACTGTCAGGAGCAGCACCCTCACACGTTGTGGCTTCTGCGAAACCCGACTCTTGCGCCTTGTACT